GGACATTCCATGGAGGTCATGTCCTAATATAGAACTTGACCAGGATAGGGACAAACAGATGTCCATATACAGTTCCCTATCCTCAGACCTATGCTGAAGTCCAGGCTGAGAGAGTCCAGTTCTTGGGCATGGTGACCAAGTAGATGGTCAATCCCATACAGCCACAGGGAAAAATGCATGTCACACAGCCTCCTCCCTCAGTCCACGGAGCACAAAGGAATGTCAGGCCACATAGCAGCCTTTTCTAGTGCCCATTTCCACCAGTCAAAGATCTGACCACGTTGTCACGCAACAGGTCAAGTCTCCGATAACAGGGCTCATGGACAGGCAATGGGTGGAGAAAAATCACAATCTCTCACACAGTAGTCACACACTGACACCAAACGTGACCAGGGAAATGAGACAGTGTAACAGTCAACCGTTCATACACACAAGTCAGCAATACCAGGTATGTGTCGTGCAACTGGATCATGGTCTGAGATGTGCCAGGCATCAAGTATCGACTCACGAGAAATTCATCAAGAGTGATTTTACCAACTCTTCACCTTCCAGTATATACACAATAGATAGCCCCACCTTTGCACAGTCACACAGGGGACACACAATTCACTGGAACACCTGAAGAGTATTACTCCAGAAACTCTTCAGCGGAACTTGAAATGATGGACACATCAGAGGCAGAAGGGCCATGTTTGTTTATATGGGTAATGTTTTCTGCCTTGGTAATGTGATAGGGTCAGTCCATTTCCATTCAAAAAGTTAATTTGAAAAATCAAAAATTGACAGAAAAACTGCTTAAGGCCTTTAACCCAAACATGCCGGGTGTCACATATATGAGACACCAGAAAATATAAACATTGCCGGGCGTCCCGCTAGCGTGACGCTGTATCGGGCCTGCGCTCCGACGCAGCAGTGGCGCGTGGCCGGCGGGTGGACAGACTCCGGGTAAGCTCCGCCTGCCGATTTTGTAGCCGTCCAGAATTTTTTTATTTTGGCTACAAAATGTACCCGGTGTGAGTGGGTTAAGGAGGCTGTCGCCGTAGATTTTTTTCGAAATTTTTAAAAAATATTCGAAACATTGAAAAAAATCTTGTGTAATCTAGTAGGCTTTGGCAACCCACTGACATAATATTTCTGCTAGATATGTAAGAATAAAGGAGTTATGACTAAATATCTGACCCCCCGCCCCCCACCTCCCGCTCCGATGTTTACTTTGTCGCATCCGTGCAAATGTACTTGACATAATTGTTTTTCTGATTTTTTAATATTTATTTTGGTGTTCTCTAATAGCTAGCTGGCAAATCTGTTTACCCATCAGCTGATCGCCAAGACTGGGACTCTGGGAGACAAGATGTTGCCATTCTAGGAGACAAAATGTTAATAGGTCCTACCTCTACTACACATCTCGCAGACGTACTCCCTCATTACACAGTAAGGGGACACACCTAATGGTAGATGTTATTTTTGCATCTAATAAACATTATATGATAAGAAATAAATCTCAATCACAGCTGCAGCAATTGTTCATACTTATGAAATGCCTCACTTGGTCAGGTTGGGCACTGCGAAGTCTGTGATGACACGCGCTAATTCTACAATCATGTGCAGTTATTGCCATAAGTACTTTGCAAAAGGGGGGGACCAGGTACCAGCTACACTTCAGAATACCGTGTGAATGCCATAAAATGCAGCAAGATTGACACAGAGATAAGAATTCTATAAAAAAAAAAATAATAAATAAAATAAATAAAAAATAATAATAATAATAAAAAAATAATAATAATAAATAAATATCGAGGGAAAAGTATCCTTAACTTCAGAGCCAGATATCTCAAAACTACATATTTGTCAACATCCTTTTTTTATTTCTCCATGACTATTTGGAGCTTCTATTGGGGTTTTTGTCATTTGAAAGCTGAATAAAAATGCTATTTTTTACATTATGGATATTTTCATTCACGTAATAGAAGTCCATATATCATATCTTGAGTTCATAAGACTGAGCATTTAGAAAAAAATAAATTCCCACTAAACTAAATGGAAATCAAAGATCCATCTATTCGATACTTTTTGTATTGTTATAGAGTATATGTTTTTGTTTTTTTTACAAGTTTGGTTAATGGATAAAGTGTGAATATCAAACTTTGTGATTTTTTACAACTCATTTTTCTTAAACAACATGTATATGTATATTATATCCTATGAAAAAATAGCGAAAATCAGATCATAAATGACGAACTTCGTTCTCGAGTGCGACAGCCCCCTTAAGATTATTACCAGACTAGAGATCAGCCAATGTTTTTTTCCATGAATGCAGCTACCAAGATGCTTAGTCATCCCAATGAGACGTCTAGACCTTGTTAGCCCACTTCTTTACTCCCTACAACCTGGATTAGAGAACACGATGATGGCAGACCAATTACTTAGGAACATAAATATGATAATGGTAGACATAACTATGAACTCTACTTTTTCCTTAGCCAACGTTAAGGCCATGAGGCATGAATCCATAATATCACATCTCACAAGTCTGTGTCTAAGGTGGACCTGAGGAAGCCATCAACAGATTCAGGTATAGGAAGTACTTAAAATGGCAAACAAGAATGCTTCAATCTCCATCCAGCAGGCAACAGCCAGGCGGGCGGCGCACTGGCAGGTTCCTGGACTGGCCTGCTTGCCGCCCGCCTCAGGTGACAAAATCAGTGTGCAAGCTCCAATCTCATGTCATACTAGTGGGACAGCTGGCCATGGTCCATATTTCAGGCGTCACATATGTGTGACACCCGGTACAAGCACATGACATTGCTGGCATAACCATCTCCTTGCTTCTATTAAGAATAACTCAATTGCTTCCATTCTGAAGGTAGCCTACTACAAAACCCACTGAGTCTTTACTAGACTCTTTAACCAATAAGGTACAAGCACATGACATTACAGGCATAGCCACTTCCTTGCTTCTATTGAAGAAAAGCTCAATTACTTCCATTCTGAAGGCCACCTAGTGAAAGACCCATTCAGTATTCGCAGACCATTACTTGTAGAACATTCAGAGGGAACATTTTTTGCTCTGGGACCATTCATTGCTACTGGTGACAGTGGCTTAGTTTTTCTTACATGTGAACTTTCCTACCAGGTACCAGTCAGTGCACCTAGAGTAGTCAATACAAGGTCACTGAGGCTTTTCCATATGCTTGATACAATGTCCTCCAAATCTGGTCCCTGTCTTAGGAACTCGCATATGGTGGGTGGGATATTTTAATGCAGACATTTCACACTCATTGTATTCCATACACCTGAAGTGTGGGAATCTTCTACTATAAGAAGCAGGTTGTATGTAAAATACATTACATTGTTATACTTATTAATGAATTTTTTCACTTATATGTTTTTTATACTCACAATCCTCTCATCCTCCCCACTCCATTCAATGTCTCAAGAATGAATGAAAAATGGTTTGCACAGGAAAATAGGGTTTCCAACAGCACTGATAGTAGGGTTACAAACAAAGCAGAATACAATTTAAGATTGTTAAATGTGGGAATGTAGACACAGCTGGGTAGTAGGAAGGAAAAATTAATTTCAACCCACTAGCAACGGTATATTTTGAAGTCGAAAATAATAGTTTCCGGGCTGCTTCGAAATCGTCGCACAGGGCTGGCTTGGAACCTGCCCGCAAGACAGCCATGGCCCACGACAGAATCAAAGCGCAAACCCCGATCCAGTGTCACAGTGGTGGGACACCCGGCAATGTTTATTTTTCCACCCGTCGTAAATAGGTTAAGCATGAAATTGTAATACACACACGCACACATATAAATATAATCCTCCTTCCGTTATCTTAGTACACTCATAGCCTTCAGCAAAGCTTTTATGACTGATCATTTCTGTCCTAGTTTTTCCATCAGACCATATTCCCATCATCCATAACATGACAGTCACATCACCAATAGACCAATAGACCCAATTGGTTAGGCTATGAATTTTTAATCAGCCAGCTGTTAATTTTGCCTGCTTTTTGTAATCCCCATTACCAATCTATTACACAAGTACTTTAAAAAAGAATGAAAAAAAAGTAATGACAAAAAATAAGACATATTAAGCAACATTAGTTTCCTTAGAAAACTTGGTACCATGAAAAGTATCTGCACAATATGCCTGTGAATCTAAATGTAATTAAATGAACAAACAACAATGAGACACTGACAATAATGGTTTCCAGGTGGCTTCAAAATTGGCGTGCAGGGCTGGCCCCAAATCCGCCTGTGTGCCAGCCACAGGCCGCAACAGAATTGGAGCGCAAGCTCCGATCCATTGCCCGGCAATGTTTATTTTTCCGGGTGTCAAATATGTGTGACACACATCGTGAGTGGGTTAAAAACTACCATTTCACATTTGCATCTACAGTTTCTACTAAAAGCCAAAAGTGGGAATTCACAACTAAAATTAATAGTTACTGTAATAACCGCAATTAAAGTTTGGAAGGTGATAATGTGACACCTACTTATTTTCAAAATTATTTTTGCACACATAAAACCTTCCATAATTTAATAATATTATCTAAAATATTATCGTTTTCTTCAAAACACATTCATCAATAATCTTATTTCTGAAAATCAAAAACAATCCCATTTTCATATAACTGATGCAGTATCCAAGATACTAAAGGACGTACTTAAGCTGTACTACAATAAAAGTTATCACCAAAATCATGGAAGATTTATTATATAGGACTAAATAATGAATCATGAATAGAATTGAAAGTAAGAAAAGGAAAGAATGAAGAGGAAGAGCATGAATAAAAAAAAGAGTGAAAAATGAGATGATGAAAGATATCAAGATGATGATGATGATGATGATGATGATGATGATGATGATGATGATGATGATAATAATAATGATGATGATGAAGATGAAGATGATGATGACACACACACAAACACACACACAGACACANGTGTGTGTGTGTGTGTGTGTGTGTGTGTGTGTGTGTATAACATTTT